GGACTCAAACCCGCGGGCTCAGGCAATCCACTCACCTCAGCCTCCCAAAGGCGTGGGATTACAGGCTGAGCCACCGAGCCCAGCTATAAATTTACAGTTAATCTAGTTTATTCTTCTGGATCTTTCTTTAGCTGTAAAATGAAGTAGATAATCCCTGCTTACCTCTGAGGGTTGTTAAAAGTTTTGGATAAATTGTATGCATGTACTCTCTCCCATGCTAACCAAATCATTTATTCCAAGAGGACCTTTAGGGTCTTTCAATCAGTGATCAATTAAACTTGATCTCAGAAATTAATTTCCAGACCCTGAGGCAAATATCACTGATGGCACAGGCTTAATTCTCCAGGGAAATATTTATTAAAGGAGACAAAAGACCAGTCAGGACAAGCAAGCAGCCACCTAGCCATGGGGCCATAGAACTGTTTTGTTCGGCCTCCACAGTGTTTGGGGAGAAAGAAGTTTGGTTAGATGCTAATACTTAGAAATTAGAATACTTCATATTAACATTTGGTTTTCTAGAAAATGAACAGATACAGCAACCTGGGGCTCTAATTCCCACAGGACCACTATCAGTTGGAGTGAGTACTTGACAAGCCCTTTAAAAGAGCAAGGGCCGAGCCCACGGGTTCGAGACCCGCCTGGGCAGGCAAGACCTCATCTCTACAATAAAATAAAAAAATCAGCGGGGCGTGGTAGCGCGCGCCTGTCATTCCGGCTGCTGGGAAGACTGAGGCGGAAGGATCGCCAGAGCCCAGCAGGTCGAGGCTGCGGTGGCCGGGAGCAGCCACTGCACTCCAGTCTGGGCGAGAGAGTGAGACTCCAACTCAAAAGAGCAAGGGCCTTCAGGGCAGTCACACTGCCTACCGCCTCACCTCCTGTTAGCCCAGGCTGTGTAGGCATGTGAGCCTTAAGATATAGGGATTCATCTGAGGGTCATACGCATCCTTGAACAGCAGAGGTGACCTGGGGAGTCCCTGAGTATAGCCCCATCATCCCATATTAATAGAATAATATATCGGGCGAGCTCCACCCTGCTCCAAGGTGGCAGACATCAGCCAGATGTGCCACTGAGCCCCTGAAATGGGGCCTGTCTCAACTGAGATCTGCCTTTGTTGTAAAAGCACACCTGGTTTCTAAAACTTCACAAACAAAAATCAAAATAACTGATTCATTTTGTATGCTCGTCCCATCCAAATCGTTGAAATGTGATCCCCAGTGTTGGAGGTGGGGCCAGGTGGGAGGTGCCTGGGACATGGGGGCAGATCCCTTGAGGCTTGGTGCCCTCCCCAGAACGAGTAAGTTCTCGCTCTAATAGCTCACACAAGAGTTGGTTGTCTAAAAGACCCTAGCATCACTTTCTGGCTCCCTTTCTTGCTATGCGACTCGCCTGCTCCCCTTCACCTTCCGCTGTAACTAGAAGCTTCCTGAGGCCTCACCAGAAGCAGATGCCAGCACCAGACTTCCTGTCCAGCCTGCAGAACTAAGAACCAGATACACCTCTTTCCTTTACAAATCACCCAGCCTCGAGTCGTCCTTTATAGCAATGCAGAACGGACTTGTTCACTCAATAACTCATTTATATCCTCATATTGATAAAATGTTGAAATGATAATATTTGGGGTACGTACATTGGGATATTTAAAAATTGTTAAAACTAAAAATAAATACATAATATATCGGCAGCATTATTTTCCAAACATTTCATTTACTCTTCAGAGCACTTCCCAGGGCTAGGAACTGTACAGCAAACCGCTTTTCAGTGAGCCTCTAACATGGTATGAAAACGTATGTGTGTGCAAACTTTTTGGGGGGAGGGAGGGCTCAGTGAGTGGGGAAGAGTGTCCATAGCTTTCACCATGTTCTCAGAGGGATCCTGTAATTCTAAAAATAAGGGAGGCCCTGCAATCCAGAGGGCAGAGCCCAGGCTCCGCAGCCAAGAACTGACGCTTAACTAGCTGTGTGGCCTTGGGCTAGTTAATCTCCCTGAATTCCCTGTTTCTTCACCAATAAAATTAAAATGATCTACCTACTGAATTTAAAGCACTCGGCATCAGTAGGGGCTATAATAAATGATGATCTGCCGCTTAATTTATCAGGTGGCAAACTGAGGCTGAGGGCACTTAAAGAGACCTAAGGTTTTCTAGCCCACTGCTCTCCTGAGGGCACCCGTGGCGACCGCCGGACTCGGGTCAAGAGCTTAGTCGCTGCTTCTAGACAATCGCACCTGGGTCGGACCCGGCTTCTTCCTCCGGGGCGCCGCTCGCGGGCAGGACACTTCGCGAGTGCCAGTCCAGTCGGAGCAGAGGCCTAGGGCAGCGGCGACGTGGCGCGGGCCTGTTCGCCGTCAGGGTCAGCGGCCACCCAGAGCAAACCCGTGCGGGGGCCGCGCCGGCCCGTGCGTGGGAGCGACGCGGAGAAAGCAGGCCGCGG